CAGGGTAAAAGTGCAAGCCACAAAAGCAGTCAGCACAACGTGGACTTCACGCCCACAGCAGTCGACCGGCAGCCAGAGGAACATGGAGATTTTTACCATGAGCTCAACAGCGTGACACCGCACAGATCAAGTCCGAAATTCCTTTTGAAATTGAAGATTGAAGGCAAATCACTAGAATTTGAAGTGGATTCCGGTGCCTCGTGTACCCTGATCAGCGAGGAGACGTACCGCAAGGTGTGGCCCCATAACCCTCCTCAGCTCCACGAGGACAACCTGCATTTGCGCACCTGGACCGGAGAAGGCCTGCAACTTCTTGGTGCAGCGCAAGTGTCCGTTCGCTTCAAGTCTAAAGACTTCTTGCTGCCACTACTTGTCATGAAAGGGACGGGATGCAACCTTCTTGGCAGAGATTGGTTTCAAGCGCTTCGGATTCGCGTCTGTGGCATAAACCAAAGGCAGTCAACTCCAGCAGCCTTCATGACACTGGAGATACAAGAGGTCCTTGCACGCCACCCGGATGTCTTTAAAGAAGACATCGACGGTTACACGGGCCCTTTGGTTCACCTGGAACTGGAAGACGGAGCAGCACCCAAGTTTTGCAAGGCTCGTTCTGTCCCCTTGGCCTTGCAAGGACCAATGGAAGAAGAACTTGATCGTTTGCAACATCAAAGCATCCTGGAACCGACGCAACATGCTGAGTGGGCCACACTAGTGGTGTTCGTACGCAAAGGCGACGGCACATTTCGTGTTTGCGGCGATTACAGGAGTACTGTTAACGCAGCCGCAAAGAAGGCATCGTACCGCTTGCCAACAACGACTGAAGTGTTCGCAAATTTGCGCGGTGGAACTGTCTTCTCGACTCTGGATCTGTACCAGGCGTACCAGCAAATGAAGGTTGACAACGAAACTGCTGCTGTGCTCACCATCAACACCACCAAGGGACTGTTCCAAGTCGAACGGCTCCCGTTCGGAATTTCTGCAGCACCAGCCATCTTCCAACGCATGATGGAGACCACACTGGCCGGAATTCCGGGGGTGAGTTTTTACCTTGACGACATCATTGTCAGTGGGAAGGGCACTCTCGAGCATGCGGAACGCCTGGACCAGGTTTTATCGAGGCTAAGCAAGGCAGGACTACGCCTCAAGCAAGAAAAGTGCCGATTTGGCATCGAGTCAGTTGAGTTTTTGGGATACAGAATTGACGCTAAAGGAGTGCACACTACCAAGGAGAAAGTGCAAGCTACCCTTCAAGCGCCCGAGCCAACCGATAAGACATCGCTACAAGCTTTTCTTGGGCTTCTCGCATTCTACAACCGCTTTTTGGAAAACCGCGCGGCAGTTGCCGCCGAGTTGTACAAGCTTTTGGAGAAAAATATGTCCTGGAAATGGGAAAGGAAGCACCAGACTGCTTTTGATGCACTTAAGAGCTTGATTCAACCTTCCACTGTGCTTGCTCATTACGATGAGACAAAGCCTCTTCTCTTGTCTGTCGACGCGTCACCGTACGGAGTCGGTGCCGTGCTTGCCCAGAAAGATGAACTTGGCAGAGAGGCCCCTATAGCTTTCGCATCGCGAACACTGGGAGCCGCGGAAAAGAATTACTCCCAGCTCGACAAGGAAGGCTTGGCAGTAGTTTACGGTGTCGGTCATTTTCACCAGTACATTGCAGGCAGACACGTGACAGCTTTAACAGATCACCAACCTCTGCTTGGCATCTTGGGAGAAAAAAAGCAAGTACCCCAAGTCCTGTCACCTAGGATGACACGATGGTGCCTCAAGCTTGCCACTTACGACCACAATTTAGTCTACAGACCAGGGAGACTCCATCAAAACGCTGATGCACTCAGCAGGTTGCCGCTTCCGGCACAAGTCGACGAGCCCTGTCCCCCGGCGGACGTAGTTATGTTGGCGTCACCTCCAAGTGTCGAACTATTGCCACGTAAACTCGCTCAAATGACCCAACAAGATCCACTCCTGTCTCCAGTGCGCACAGCTATTTCAAGTGGAGAACTGCATAAACTGTCAAAGAAACAGTTTTCACCGTACTGCAGACTCGGCACAGAACTTTCAGCACAACAAGGTTGCCTCCTGAGAGGTTCCAGAGTGGTCATTCCCACAAAGGCGAGGAAAGATGTGCTTGACTTGGCGCATGCAGGTCATAGAGGCGTAGTAGCTATGAAGGCATGCGCACGAGGTTACTTTTGGTGGCCAGGTCTTGACAGCGACATTGAAAGACTGGCAAGAAGCTGCGAAATTTGTCGGCGACACCAGAAGGCACCACCCAAGGCATCAATCCCCGAATGGACGCGCGCGACGACGCCTTGGCAGACCATTCATGCGGACTTCGCTGGCCCCGTGGAGGGGAAGATGCTGCTGATTGTTGTCAACGCGTACAGCAAGTGGCTAGCAGTACGCTGCATGCGCAACATACAGTCAATCACACTGATTGAGGAATTGTGGGAACTCTTCGCAACGTTTGGAGTCCCCGAAAAGATGGCAACGGACAATGGACCATCCTTTGTTTTGTCCGAGGTGGAAGACTTCCTAAAGAAAAATGGTGTGACACATATAACAAGTGCGCCTTACCATCCCACCACAAACGGACAGGCGAAAAGAATGGTCCTCAAGACGAAGCAGGCGTTGGCAAAAAGTCAAACTGAAACAGCAACATTTGCTTGCAGACTGGCAAGGTTCTTACTAAAACAGCACACAACCGTCTGTACAACAACTGGAAAAACACCAGCGGCGCTCATGTTCGGCCGCAAACTTTCTACAGTGCTCACACGCCTACAGCCCCGCATGCCGGAAGAGCCGGCATCGGAATACCGCAGAGAAAAATCACCTAGAGAAGTTACAGTAGGACAACCTGTCTTCGTTCGAAACTTCGTTGGAAACCCTACTTGGATTAAAGGAACCGTTATGAAGAGACTGGGACACCGCTCTTGGCTGGTGAAGTGCGAGAATGGAACGGTTCGTCGACACCTGGATCACATTAAACCCTTGTGCACAAAAGAATCGGACAACGAACTCGACATCGCGCAATTCCAGCAAGGAACCGGTCACAAGCCATGTTCCGGCTCCATATGTTTTACAGCCGGACTTCCCAGCATCGTCCGAATCCAATCGACCTCCAGCGCCCGAGTCCCAAGATGGAGCTCGTGCGCAATCTGACCTGTGCGACACGGTACCTGCCGACCAGTGGAAGAACGAGTCAGCGCCAGTTTCCACTGCGGTGCCGAGACCCCAGCGCGAATGGCGTCCCCCGGACCGCTACGGTGACTCAATCTGAGGAGGAAGGGATGTTATGTATAATACGAGCAACAATCCACCGCTTTGTGAAACTCTCTACGGCGCCACTCGGGCAATCACGTAGTGCCGCCATCCCGCCGCGGCGGCATCCGGAGATCGGGTTACCCGAGCCGCCCACAATGCGAGGAGGCTGGGCCGTACGAGGATCGTGGAAATAAAAGCAGTTCATACTCAGCCAGCGACTGAAGTGGTCTCCCTCTATATACGGGCCGAGACGCCCCAACATAACAAAAAGCAATATTTATTTTTGTCATTTCAGAAAAAAAAGGCATGTGCCGGGGGGGGGGGGGGGTGCTCTGTGGACAAATTGTAATGGTTACAAGTAATTTGATTACTTCAAAAAGTAATCAGATTACTCTTGTGATTACTGCCTAATAAAAGTAATCAACTAATTACAAAATTACTCCAAAAAATAGTCGATTACAAGTAATTTGATTACTTGTAATGCGTACGGTACAAGTCTGCCACTATCCTTCAATCAGAGCGCGACGTTGTTCTGACGTCATTGCAACTCTTGCGCAAGAAGCAGACAACTTGCTTTCCGCATTGCTTGGCGTCACTGCGTGCTTGCAAGACGGTAAAAGATGCGCCGGCCGCAACACTGCCGCGAGCTAGGCTGCACAGCATGGATACACAGGCGACGACATTTTGGGGGGAATGGTGCACACCTTGTCTTCTAGGTCGTATTGGCTGAAGCCAGGGTTTCACCTCTGCTCGGGGTGTAGCCTCTTTCCCTTGCAATTTCGATTAAACATTTCAATTTAGGAAGCATGTTTCCAAGTTTTGGGCTTTTTTTTAATGATCAGAAAATTTTGTTCAAGTTGTGAGGGAAAGTGTGGAAAAGTGGTAATTTTATAGGTTTAGTTTAGTAGGTGCCTGGGCCATTAGCCCCGAGATGTCTGCGTGGCGCCCCCTTATGGCGAACCGGGGTGACGTCACGCCGAGGACAGATCTTTCCCCGACTCGGCTCGCATGCCTTGTGGAGGCTGTAACGACGTTAGCTGTTGGCACGTTCGTTTCTATTTACTTTTTTTTGTGTGCTTTTTTCGTAGGAAGTGTGAACTTTCACATGCAGTTTTATTGAGGTATGGCCTGTAGCTGCAGGCGAAACTTCAACCAATATTTCAGGCGTGGTTGACAGGGCAGACAGCGCATAAATCACAGCTGGTATATAAAAATAAAGAAATATGGCCTCACTTGCAGGAGCATCGCGATAGATTTACATCTTACAATCGATGTAAGATGTAAGTCTTGCATTGATTGACTAATTTAAGTGCAATCAGTCCCGGTATCTCTTTCCATCTCAGAGCCACCATCCCGCAATCATGAGACGTCAAAGTTGCGAACGGCTACTGACTGGATAAAAATGGCGTAGTTGAAGGTTGGACACTCGCGCCTCCGGCGCGAGTGTCCAGCCTTCAACGACGTTTGCACGCCTCATTAGCCTCGGGTGCACACGCGCAGCCAAAGCACGGCGAAAGGCTACGGGGTGCATGCAGGCGATAGAAAGATGCCCCACCGTCCTTCTCCGTCGGTGACCACAGGGCAAGATTCATTACTTTGCGCACTTTTGCCGAACCATTGCGAGCCGTACACCGAAATTGTTTTTGTTTGCAAGTGTTTTCTGTTTCTGAGCGTGCTGGCAGCACCTCGTTGGTGCGCATTTCTTAGAGAGTGTGTTTCTCTTCCAGGACGTCGACGAAGACGCGGCGTCAATGGACCCCGGTTCTGCGGACTCTTCGGCCTCTTCTGCCGGCCGGGGTCTAGCCCCCTCCGGCAGCCCGGCCAAGAAGGTAAAACGGGAAGGCACGAGCGATGCCTTTGACGTTCAAGGTTCCCTCTGTTCGAGCGGTACGAAGGTTCGCGTGAAGCAAGAAGTCGTCGGTGACGACGACGCGGAAGAGGAGGATCCCGTGGACGCTGCCCTGTCCGGCATGGAGTTCTTTCCGGAGCAAGAGGATGCTGGCGAACCCCAGAGTACGACCTCGAGCTTTGCGGGGGTGCGCGTAAAGCAGGAGCCCGTCAGCGACGAGGACACTCATGATTCTTCCGCGCCGGAATGTCGTCCGGAGGAACACGAGGAATTGTCGCATTCGAGCAGCTTCCACTCTGTGACGCCGGGTGGCGTTGAGGTACATGTAAAGCAGGAATATGTTAGCGACGAAGGCGCTTACGGTTCTACGCCAGAGTGTCCTCGTGAGTCGTCGACGAAATCGCTGCTTTCAGGCAGCTTTCACTCCGTAACACCGGGCGGCACGGAGGTGCGTGTAAAGCGGGAGCCTGTCAGCGACGAAGTCACCGGCGTAGAATGCCCTCAGGTGATGCCTGTCGAGGAATCTTTTTTGCGAGGCAGTCGGGTTGCGAGTTTCGGAGGCCCAGAGGTGCTCGTGAAGCTGGAGCACGTTGGCGACAGAGAGGCCGGCAGTCCTTCCGCCGTGCAAGCATCTCGGGAAACCAGCGCCGAATCTTTTATCGTTCCCGACCGGATACAAGATGCTCCAAGCGTGCAAACAATCGAGATCAAACAAGAATCCGGCGGCCAGCTCTTCGTCGTGCAGAGCCCCCGGGAGGTTGCGACGAGCAGCGTGGGTGTCAACGTGAGTGCGAACCAAGGCAGTGCGATTCAAACTTTCGTCGTGTCCGACGTGGCTTCTCTCAACGAGGTGATGCGCGTCGTCCCATCTGGCGCCGACGGCGCTTCCATCCGGAACACTCAGTTTATCGTGGACCGACGGGCCACTACAAACCTGACTTCGGGCAATTCCTTAGCCGACACGAGCCGTGCGGGAACCAGCGCCGCCTCTGGAACGGGACAGCGAGTGTATGTGGCGTCGTACGAAGCCACGAACGGAACAAAGATGATGCGGATCGTGGAGCCCAATTCGGCGGTACTGCCGCAGCCGGCGTATGTCCGGCGTTCCACCCTCGCCGCCCGGCAGCCGACGCATGCGTGGAAGAAAGTGCTGGCCGAGGACCCCACCTCCTCAAATAGGGCTTCCGTGGCTTCCGAGACGAAGGTGGAGAAGGTTGACAAGGGCGTCCAGGCGGACGTCCGGCCCAGGTCGAGAACGGTCAGCGTGCAGACCAACGTTTGCGTGAGGTCCACGTGTGAGTATTCCGTTTAGGGGTCTCACTCTACCGGCCGACCATTTTGCTTTTCGTTTTGGGGTGGGAAAGTTTCGCCACAGCCCTTAGATTGGCCCGTCCGGGATCTCTTCCTTATGCCGTCGGAAAGCTTGCTTTAGGGACGAAGGAAAGCACTCGAGGTGCCTGTGCCGCCAACATCAAGCGATCGAATCGCTTGGAGAAACTGGCGGATGGACGTGGGCTTGGAGAAGTCAACTTAGAGTCGCTGGACGCAACTGTTTTTTTCATAAAACTCCACGGATCCCTCAAAAAGATGAACAATCGGAGACGCCATATATACCTAAACTTCTTTCGTGTTACAGTCTAGTCTCATTAATCTGGATACCTCACCATATAGACAACATTTTTGGAGGCAAACTAAGGTAAATGCGTGCATTTTCATCTCGTTATTGAGGACGGCTCACATTAAAGGGGCTTTTGCAATGGAACGGAGGTGTCCGTATTGACGAGGCATTTTTGTATATAAAAATAATTGAAATACCGTGTGAACGGTGCTACACTGCTTACAAAAAATTATTAAAAATATGTTAAATCTCTTACACTTCTATATTTTCTTTTTTTTTTTTTACTCTTCGATCGATTAGTGCCGCTTGTGGTGACTAAATTTACTATGGCGGAAATCGCCGAAAGTGGTTTCCCTAAGAGCCTCGGTCAGCCGGATGCAGCTGTAGCTTCCACCGTGGTACCGAAAAACTAGCTACACGAGTTGTTGTGGCAGAATGGGAAACTAGGTCTGGGTAGCGAGTAAAATCTGCACAGAGCTGCCGACAAATGGCACTGAGGCACAAATCACGTGGGCCGCAATGCATGCCTTTTGTTGGCAGCGCCACGGACAACTTGAACATTAATTACGGTTTCCCATTTTCTTCTGGCCTTGTCAGGGGTTTATATACTGGCGTCTCTCAAGTCATCTTTGTTTTTTGCCTTCAGATAAAGAAAGTAGAACTATCTCGAGGCATCCTACTGTACTGCTGTGAGAGCATGATCCCTTTTTCGTGAGTGTTTATCTCGTAATTTAGAAATGTTTAAATAAACGCCTATAATTACTGAACTGAGGGTTTTAAATGACACCACTGTACAACCCAGCTAGAAAATGCCCTTTCGAAAACGCATAACCGCCATAGCACAGTCTGTCATAATTGTGACAGTATATTTAAACAAACAAAAAGGAGATTATTGGCTTTGATTGAATAATAGTGATTTGTAGATCACATTATCCTACATGTTCCGACAAATGCATCTGTTTTTGGCCGTCATGATCTAAGGATTCGATGAAGCACACACACCAAACATACCGTAATAACCCGAAAGATGCCCCACCTCGCGAAAGATAACCCACTTCCTAGTTGGCATGATTTGCATTTTTTTTTCAAAAACATCGAAAGATAGCCCACTTCTAGTAAGTACAGGGTCCTGGCCAATGGTGACGTCGGCAGAAATGGTGTCATTTTGCCAAGGCCTCCCGGGCCTTGGCTAAAGTGAACATTGCTGACCGGGAAGGACAGTCGTCTTTGGTTCATGGCCTCTCCCTGCAATCACAAGTTTCACAGGTCACACAATCGAAAACTAGCATTCTTCCAAGTTATTTTTATTGCACGTCAAAAGTTAGTTTACTCCTTATTAATGCGAAAGCAATAACTGTTCCATAGAGTGGAGCCGTCATTGTCTGTAACCGCAAAAAACGGCTGTAAAATTTCTTGCGCCGAACGGCTCTTAAAATGGCTGCGACGCACCAGATTGGCTGCGAAGCGCGGGATAGTTCCAGGGAACGCCGCCCCACAGAGAAGCCCTCTCTTGGTGCCGCGTCCTGCGCACCGCTGCACCAGTGCTTACTCGCCGCTCTCCAAAGCCCGGCCGGCCTCTGCGGAAGATAGCGGGGTGCGCAGTTTGTAAGAATATGCTACATGCTTTCGCATTCCTACGCGTAAGCGATCTTATGATTCCTGCAATTTTTTCACCCGGTTTGCCGTTGATTTTGGGTGGGACATCTTGGGATACTACGGTAGCAGCATTGGCTATGCACTCTTGCAGCACCTGTAGATTAGAACAGTTGTGACAACACAGATACCGTATTTACGTATTTACTCGAATAATAGCTGCACGATTTATGAACAAGGCCATTCTGTCTACTTTCCCTCAAAGCACATATGCAGCCAATCATCACGTTGCGCATAAATAACATAGCGAATAACTAGATCGAGAACACGAGTCTCCCTACAAATTCAATCTTCACGTTATCTCTGTCCTCTAAGCCGCTGGAATCATGCTGTCGAACGCGGTAACTGGCCATCCGCGTGCCTCGCGGAAAAGAGAACCCTCAGGTTTTCTTCATGAACAGTGCGGCTATTACTTGAGTAAATACGGTAAGTCTTAGAGCAAAGAAAACGACAGTTGTGGTGCCATTGATGACAAAGGAATGGTTTTGGGAGGGGGCGACTGCTGGTACAGTCAGGCCGAGAGCACTCACTGCCGGTAGATCATCCAGGACAGTTGTTTGTTCCTTGCAGCTGTCTCTCTTATGTTAAAAAAAAAAATAAAAAAAAACGAGAAAAAAGTTTTTTTGATTTTGTTTGTATTGGTGGAGGTTTCTAAAACCATCTCTTTTTTTTACAAAACAATTCTCTGAAATTTTGAAGAAATAGCCTGCTAGTTTTCTAAGCACATCGTTTGCATTCGAACGGTGCATTCCTCGAAGAAAGATTTGGACGATGTTTTGAGTAAAGAAACAAAGAGGGAAATTTCAAAGATCAGTTTCTTGGTTTATAGATTTCACAGCAGTTTTCCAGCTGCTACTAATCAAGATCTGACCCAGATAGATGGTGTTTCCTTGTATTTAGACAGTTCCTCATGAATCAATTCAGCAACTGATCATAACGGCAGAAGAGAAGGGAAATGGATGCTGACATGGTTGTCGCTCGTGGCCAGCAGCAGCGCATCACATCTCTCTTGGAGTTTGCATCAAAGTTTCAGTTATTGTTTTGGTAAGCTCTGCCGGAGTTTGCGTACCCCTCTATCAGGACGCGGTAATTTATTGGAACATCCTGCAGTTGCCTTCTGTTCGATAATAATGCCTGTTCAGAAATGGCTGTTATCTCATGCTACAATTCTTGTGCACTTTATTCCAGCGGTTCAGACCGACGTGCTGCCCAGTGACGTCGTGATAAAGGCATCCACGGTGTCCCATTGCACCCTGTCTCTGGCGCGCGACCAGTTACCTGGCAGACCTTCATCTTCCAAGGAGTTGGCCATGTAAGTTTCCGTGCTCATTTTGTTAATGGAGAAAACTACTTTGAATGGCTAGCTTTTTTATCCTTAGTCTCATTTGTATGAAATTTGCGGGGCATATTCAAAGCTCTGAAAAAGGATGCGGTTCTAAGTTTAATGTTTATAAATTAGTCCTTCGAGAAGTTACACAAAAGTACATCAAATAAATGCTGCACCCACTGAGGAAAAGCAGCGTGCTTTGGCAACCACATCCTGAGTTTCTACTCGCTTCCAAGAGCCATTTGAGAGGCCAGATTTAAAAGAGAGAGCAAGTCAAACCGTGGAGGGCATTTGCAATTTAATGGCAAACGCTCCTGTCGATCGGAAGTGTGCGTCTGTCGTGTTACGCGGCGAAAAGGGAGAGTGTGCAGAGGCCGGGCAAAGCTCGGACACGGTCGCCGACGACGAACGCTTCTGCCTCCTCCTCGCGGGTCGTATTGCAAACGTTTGCCTGTCCCCGACGGAGCAGTTGGAAACACTGATCTCTATTATATAGACCTTTTCATTTTAGTAGTTGCCTCACCGGCGGACAGAGGGCGCTGACGCACTCGGCGCCATTAGGTTGCTTCAATCTGGTTGATTTCGGTTTCAACGTGAATGCGGCTATGTTGCTGTTTTACATTGTTTTTGCTTAATTTTGTGATACGATTATTTTCCTGGTACCACACAACCAATGAAACAGTGGTATTGAGCCGCTTTGATGACTACGAGGTGTATTTTAGCTTAAATTGTGGGCGTTTTTTACCAACTTCTTTGATGTATATGATTAAGTTTGGCTGCGAAACGCCTGACTGATGTACAGGGAAGAATGCCATTGTGTATGACCGTACCCGATGACACCAGTTTTCAGAAAAACAAACTAATGAAGAGAGTGACATGTGAATGTAAAGGGGGGAGGCATATCGACGGCTTGATTAGCAATGTTCTGAATCGGCCAGAACAGATGAACTCGGAAGTTTACAACTCACTCTTTGGTTTTCGTGGGCCCCCAAACTTTAGCGAACTTCACAGAATAAAAACGTATAGTGTAATGACGCAGGGAATTGATATAAACGTATAATATCGTCTCGGCCTCTTTTTTTTTAAATTTTGTACTCGAGCATGTTTTGACAGGCTGAGTAAGAAATTTCTTAAATTATCAATCCTGCTAAAGTACTCATAGGCGCCATTTCGCGATATTTGCCCCAGGAAATACATTTTCTTTTTTATATGAACATTTGCTTACTCAGGATATGATATGAGTGAAAGGCCCGTCAAATTGGGGCGTCAATCATTGCGAATTTTAGATACTGGCAAAAGTATACAATCTCTTAAACTTCATAAGTAAACCGACCAACCGAATGTCTACGTCGCAAAAAAAAAAAAAAAAGATTGAGACCTGATACACATGTAGGTGTGATATTATGAACAAACAAATCGCTGGATGTTGACGTACCATTACTTTTAGCATCAGATAAAATACAAGTTAAACGTTCGTTGTCTGTCTCCTCCGCGAGCTTCTTCACATAATCAAAAGAAACCGTTTTCGACGTATTATGACTACAAAGAACGATACTTTCAGGGAATACAGATAGTCTCCTTGTGCTGATTATTCTCGACGCCTTGCGATCCTATGTGCGCGATATAAATATACGCGCTTCTTACTGAGAATGTTCCGCCACTATTAGTAAACAAACCTCAGGAGTCGTCAAGTAGACGTATCGGACTACAGTTTCCGAAGTAAGGCAAGCAAGCGCGGTGAAACGCGACGAAAAACACGAATATCAGGCATCCGCCAAGGCGCGGAGGGGAGAGCGGAGCAGCAAGTTGAAGCAACCTAATGGCTGCCGCGTCACGTGATTCCAAGATGGCAGCGCCCATGCGGAGGTGGATGAAAAGGTCTATAAGGTTGGATAGCACATAGTCGCTCTTTGAACAGGGCGCAAGTGAAGCCACCGGACGTTTGATGCTTGTCCCGGAAGTCGGGCATCTGCTCTGGGTTTCCTTGTGCTATCAGTCAATGTTTTGGTCCATACTTTCCGGTGTCTTTGAGTGAATTTTAATAATCATGCTCCGAATTAAATCCCCAAAATGAGGCATTTAAATTTGGGATATATGCTCACTTGATCAACTAGAATCTCAAAATGTTTACATTGAATGGCTTCCCACGATACTTGTCGGGTCTGCATGCGCTCTTACTGCACAACAAGCAGGCTCTCTTGAGGTGAGAAGCGAAAATCCAGCGCCCTCTACGCTTTTCGAACCAGCTCTCTGAAGGGTTACAAAGGCTGCCAAGCGCTGGCTTCCGGGACAAGCCACTTACTTCCGGTGACTTCATACCAGTTTGCTGAATGTGCCATCCAGCCCGCTATAAGGAGTATTCACTAGACGCCATATTTGTAGGTGCTGTTGTGAGCGCATGCTCAGAACGAGCTCACATCAATAGGCTGCTAAGACTAGCACTATTGATGGTGCAGAATGCATGTTGCTAAAGAACTGTGGAAGATTGCTGTCAGCACGCGCTCAGCATTTGCGAAAAAAAGCTATGGCCGCCAGTGAATACTCCCTATAATAGAGATCAGTGGTTGGAAACGCTCAAAAATCTGGGCGCACCGTGAGTAGTCCTCTCCGCTTCCCGCTCGCAGAAGCCGCACAGCGCCCGGAGAGCCCAAGGGCCCCAAGAAGTATGTGGTGTCCGGCAGCTCCCTGCTGCAGCTGCTGGACAAGTGCCAGAACTGCCTGCGCCCCGTGGTGCCCGAGGTGAAGGTGAACGGCACCCTGGTGGAGATGAGCGCCGTCTGCTCCGAGGGACACCTCACCACCTGGCGCAACCAGCCGCCCAAGGCCTAGGCGGCGACTCGGCTCTCTTCGGGTTTGTGTGCCTTGTTTGCGCGCTCCGGGGCGTGGTCGGGCGAATGCGTACGGAGAGCCGTCAAAATGGAACGTCCCAAGTGAAGAGCCGCACTAAAAAGGAGGCGTGGTTTTTAGGCGATTTTTTTTTTTTCTCGGAGGGTGGCAATGGCGAATTCCATTCGTAAAGCGATTGTTCGTTGTGTTTCTTTTTTGTGCGTCTCCCATCGTGAAACGAGTGCCTTGTCCGATGTACGTACATTGTCTTCAGGCTGCCAGAAATGCTAGCGGTCTTTTGTTTTTTGGGTCTTCCGATCTTCTGGACAGGGAGGAAGGTACTTTATAGGGCTAACCGTATTCCGAGCTTCCTTGTCTGCTTTGACCTTTCTATGGTTCGCCGTGATTGTCTGTCCGTTTTTGTGATTAGGATCTGGAAAAGCAAACTTGCAGACTTTTTTTTTTACCGTAGGGTTTGGGTCGGGTCCCGGAATCGTACAAATCATACAGTGCGTTTTGTCTCATTAAAGCGCTATCATGCTTGTGTGTGAGGACAGACAGTTTGTGAAATAAGATTAAAAAAAAGGTCATGTTATGCTGTGCCATGTGACACGATGTCAGGCGACACTTGGCATCATGTGACATCACACTGCGTCACGCTGCACCGATCTGCGTATACAAAGTGGTGTTTTTAGACTTAAAAGATTTGTTCTTAAAATAAGTTGCGAAAGCTACACTAATGTGGTCTTTGCAGGGGAGTTATGCAGCCAGGAAAAAATATTATAGGGGGTTAATTGTCACGATGAGTCGAATAGTAAACTAAAATTCGTCTATTAACTTCTTAATTTTTGCCGATAAACATATAGTTTCAATTAGACACTTGCCGAACATCACTGGAAACCAATAAATCTTTTTATAAATACTTTGAGCGTGTGGGAAGCGCAGTAGTGCGCTAAAGCTACTACTCGTGCAACAGGCACAAGGCTAACGGTAAAAGGTAGAAAAACCGCTCGAGTGTGTTATGGCACCGGTAGCCTTGCACCTGCTGTAAGAGGGGTAACTTGAGCAGTTCACCTTGCTTCCCACATGCTCCAAGTCTTCATAGAATTTACTTATTTAGCGTTCTTCGACGACACTCAAAAAGTTTCTAATTGGAACCATATGTTTGTTTTTACTAACTGAAAAGTTACTTAGTATATCTTAGCTAACCAGCCGACTTGTCTTTACAATTAGCCCCCTTACCGAGAAACTAAGGGAAAGAATGAGACGAGAGAGTGCGTGGGCTTCAGAATGCCGAGCTCTGGTTAGAACGATCAGTGCGTAGGCCTAAAGTCAGCTGCCTTTGTCTGCACTGCTCTCTTCGAATGCGGAACGCCAACGTCCGGTGTTTAGCTTTCGCATTCGGACGCGCTTGACGAGTGCAGTGGAGACAAAGGCGCCTATACTGAGAGAGTGTTCGTGACCACTTGGAGAATGACCAAAATTCGTAAATTGATTATTGCAGTACTAGAGCTCTAAAAATCGCGGAACTTGGTGTACATACTAAGTAGCCTATGATTATTCTGTTTCAAGAATAATCGGTCCTTTTAATTTTCGTGTCCTAGCCCCTTTACGCGCGCCACCGTATAACTCACCTGCACAGACTGCATTAGTGTTGTTTTTACAGCTTTTTAGAAAGAAATCTGTGAAGCCTAAGAAAGAACACCCTGTGTATCGTTAATGTCCTCCGCGTACGAAACATGTGGGTGGTGGATGAAACGAGTGCAATAATTTTCTTTTGTTTATTTCTTTTTTGTGCATGGAAGTCTGCATATCTTAATTTCGAGAGAATGAAGAGCACTGTCTGACTGGTGGTAATTTGATAATGCAGGACACTATCCTCTGCACGGCACAATTCATCGATTGGGAGCCACTGGCTAGGGTCGAAGGCGGCAGCGTGGCAATGGCTCTCTCTGCGCAGCAGTCGGGCATCTTGCAGGACAAGCAGTACTTCACGAGACACGGCTCTCTCCAACGTTGGCAGGCGGTCACACTACTTCGGCCAGTGGCCAAGATCCTCGTGCGCTTTCGTTGGCCTCGGCCAGCCTGTTCCCGGCACTGGAAAGCATCACTTCATCACGGACATGCATCACAGTGTCTGGTGTGTCTGGTTTTGTGTAGAATAATCACCACCTTCACATCCTTCAATAAACTGAGTGATTTTACCGCAGTATTACTCCGTTGCATCTTGTATGTCTCGCTGTAAACACGGTATCTGCCATCCTGTGTGCCGAGCAGCTGAGGGAGAGGAGACAAGAGGGGACGTCGGAACGCCCAGCTGTAGTTGGAAGGATTAGTGGGTAGACCTAAAACTAGCTGCCTTTGTCCCCACTGCGCTCATCGAACGTGGAGCACCGGCGTCCAGCATTTGGCTTTTGCATTCAAACACGTTTGACAAATCCAGCGGAGACAAAGGCAGCTAGCTGGCTTTAGATCTACTACATGCTACCGTATTTTCCGGACCATAGTCCGCACCCGGTGTATAGTCTGCAAAAGCAAATTCAGGGTCAAAAATTATTTTTACTTAGATAGTCCGCGCCCGGTGCATAATCCGCATTTGGTGCTTATTTGACACGAAAATCTTCTCATAGACGGTACCCCTAACAAATGTTTGCTTTCTTAGCTCACAAACAGCCTATCATGTACCCAAATCACCGCTCGTCTCGTCATAATCAATGTTATTGAAAAACAAAATTCCTGTATACTCCGCACTTGCAAATAATCCACACATCTAGTCCGCGGACTATAGTCCGGGAAATACGGTAATCATTCAAATCAGAGTTCAGCATCCTGATGTCCCTTTAGCTCTAGTCTCTTTTTCTCCCTCGGTTCCTCGGTGCATAGCAGAACTAGTTGTGGACATGAGAATGTAAAGCCATCTAGGCTGAGCCTGAAGGTAGTGTTTTTTTGTAGTTTTGAATTTTCCAATGCATCCTAGAGTAATTTAAGTTGGTATGGTGGTGTACGAGGGTCATTCTTTTTTTATTCTGTCATAAGGTCAGGAATGATCAGGGCACACCACATTTGTCCCATACACAATACGATTGGCTACTTAAGAACTACAGCGTGTCCGGGCCCTCCTAAAATTAAGAACATAATTTTACCACAAATATAAACTATGGGTCGCCTAACGCTCAATCTCTGCTCAAATGTAGCACTATTGGTCCAAACCAGATAGCAAAATTTCTAAAGTATCCATTATCTCATTCGAAAAATACAAGTGCTTTTCTGGAAATTCTATGGGGAAGATGGGTCCTGTTTTTGCCTGTTTTCGGTAAATGGCATCATTCGGCTTCATGTATTCCAGAGCCCTGTCGGCGGTCATTTTCCCATTAAAACTTTGAGGAAATCAGTTTTAACTCTTTAATAAAATAATGGTTATATTTGAAAACCTGGCGTCTGGTTGGGACCACAAGGGCTACATTTGGGCAGAGAATCGACATTTGGTGCTGCATAATTTGTTTTAGTGAAAAAGAAAAAAAACAAACAAATTTTTTGTGGACATTTTGTATAATATCCAACTTATACGGCGTGCAAGTTTGTCCGCTCCTTGCGCACTTTGTGTGTTTGTTTACTCACCAAATGGTACCCATGTGCTTTTGTTTAGCCCCGACCTCAACCAATGACGGGTCATGCTTGGCTGCCTCGTCATCGCGCATTCCCTGCATATTCTCCATGTTGCTTTTGGTTTGGCGTTCCCCTAGTGTTCCGATAGGCCAAAGACGATTTTAGCAAAAGGAATACTTGCTGTATTCCTTTTGCTATTGGAACATGCTCCGTACACAGTTATATGATACCAGAAGATGGACTCTCCTAGTGCCTAATATGCTCTTGGACGCAGTGATACATCAGCTGCTGTGCATACCATCGGGTTCAAATGAAATGCGAACAGTGATGGAACTTCGAGCCCACTACCGGCGCAGCTTCCAAGCTTGGGTTGTGCTTGGCGAGGTTGAAACACATTGGAGTAGGACGCACATTTTCGCAGTGCCCTTATTTCAAGCGGCTATCATCAGTGACTCTGCAACCACTATTGATAGCCGCTCGAAATTGGGTCGTGGTAAATAATCTCTGTTGCGGCTCGGGGCCCAGAGAAAGTCGAAATCTCAGTTCTGGCTCTATGACCACTGATGATATCTGCTTGGTATAGGGGCGTGATCAATCATCTTTGTACTAGATTGGGGCCCAGTGGAAATCGTAATCTCAGTTCTGGCTCTATGACTACTGATAATAGCTGCTTTAAACTAGGGCCTGATGAATAATCTGTTTTGGCTAAGGGCCCAGAAGAAGTTGAAATCTCAATTCTGGCTCTATGATCGCTGTCAATAATGATAGGAAAGATCATAGTGTCACATTCAATTGGGGCGCACCACACCGCACCGCACTGCACCGACGGACGCGTCGCGTTCAGATGGCCGTGTCGGTGCGGCTGCACTACGTTCATGGTGCGGCGCACGACACCGTCGCGTTGCTGCACCAGCTGCACCGTCGAAAGGAGACCGTGCAGCTTCGCGCACTGCGGGCCGGTGCGGCCTTGAGCTACCGCTCTCCACCTCTTTGGGCCCCTTCTTTCCCTCGCTTCGTCTTCCTCGTCTCGGTAAACATGGTGGCTCGGGAGACTCTCGCTAGATGGCGCGCGCCGCCGATCCCACTCGCGGCGGATTTTGTTCAATGGTCCACCCTAGAGCCACTAAATGAGCTGCGCTTAGAGTATCGGCACCACGGGGGTAAAGGTGGGTGAGGAGGAGTGGCAAATCCCGTGCGCCGACATCCTGGGTCCCGAGTGAACGATCGCCAACGTTACTAAAACACTCAGTTGGGAAACTCCCATAGAGACAGCTTTGAAAAAGTGGCCCCAATCTGTCTTCGAGCACCGAGCTAATGACGAACACAACGCCACCATTTCTCCCGCAGCGGCCTCCGGAAGAACTGCACGTGACTTCTATTATGGCCATAGAGTTATTATAATGTACGCTAGAGGTTCAACTGGCGCTAGTGTCTATGCGACTTCCGTGACGCAAATTGAAGCAGACAGCAACCAGTCTACTTTTCCAGTCTTCCTGTGTATTCCTATGGGAAAGCGCGCGTGCATTTTGTCTCTTTGCCGGAAAATAACACGGAACACTTTGGTTATTTGGGTCGTACCGAATAGTATGTACCTTGATTAACACTGTAAAAGTGTAATTGCTTTAGTTAGCGCATTTTTCTTCATCAGTGACCTATGTTTAACTTCGCTACATTTCAGTCCCAAACGTGTGTTCCGCAGCAGGTGTGTAAAAACAAGCGACGATTCGAAGCAAAATTACAATCGAAAGGAATGTAGAGTGTGTTCAAGGCTCGCCAGCAATCCGGTGACGCTTATATATTGATAATATGCCAGTCCTGTCACTATATAAAAATGACCCCGTCGTGCATGAGCGGATAAAAACATTCAAAACGTAGAGAATAAAGTTTGTGGGCTATAAAAGTTGTCTCTTCGTATTGCTTTCTCTGCCAAACAGCTTTTATCGGGCACTTGTTCTCAAAGATTTCGAGCATGCGAGTGATATTTTGAACGTAGAACAAGCAGCTTCGCTCAGAGCAGAAAGAATAAAACGGTACTTACTTATTTAAAATAGGAATAGATTACGTGGCCTTCAATTAATTTTGATTGTATACGCACGTGTAGTTACTGATCCGGTGTTACTGCGTAGTTCTTACCGTCTTTTTTAATTTCCAGATCTTTTTCGCACTGAAAAGCGCCGACGTCGTGTTCGCGCTAACAGTGTCCGACAGTGCACATAACTACACGTACGAAGCTGTTTTAGCACCGTCTTTAATGCGATGATTTTGAAAGAAAAACACCGTAACTGACCAATTCTTTCGTCGGCCTGACTGAGAAATGTTCCAAGCTACCTAGTACGTACGAATTATTCGGGATATTTGCTCTTATGATCGAGCGCAGAGAGAAAATGTACTCACTTTTTCCCATAGAAATGCATTACCGGAAGTCAATTTTCGATTGGTTGCTGTCTGCTTCAATTTGCGTCAGCACACAAGCGCCACTTGAACCTCTAGCGTACATTATAATAACTCTATGATTATGGCTATAAGAACAGATACAGCGGTAGAGGTTACAGGGTTTAAAGAAAAGTTTATTGACACTGTAAACTGCAAGACGTAAATCACACCGGTATACAATAGGAACATGTACGCTACAAAGATCCAGGGACGGAGGTAACGAAAAAACATAACTTAGCGAACCAAATATGGCCGCTGTTTACATCTCATCAGCACACACGAGGAGGGTTCTCTCCTTTACCTAAGAAATGTCAGTGTAAGCCAGGCGTAGCGTTCGGCTGGCTAACGTCATATCCCCCCCCCCCCCCCCCCCCCCCTTTCACCCCACCCCACGCCTCTCACACCTGTGCGAGAGGCGCGAAAAGCAAGTGGATGTGACCACCGACCAGCCGGACGTAGCGGCAAGACCACCGCCTGAGGAACTCTTCCTCGCCCAACCAAAAGAGCTCGGAGTCTAGGTGGCGGAGCAGGGTACCCCGCAGTCGAGAGAGGACTGGCCACATTGCACGAGATCGTCGTTGCTGGCCAACCGCCGCACAACGATTCTGCCAGAGGACCAGTTGGCCGACTGCCAACAGGAGCAGGGCGAAGCCCCCGCGGGGGCACCTACCGCCTGACCAAAGCCGCCTGTATACGCCTGTATACGCGGCTTCGGCCTGTATACAGGCCAAAGCCGCCTGTATACAGGCGGCTTTGGCCTGACACAAAGTTCCAGATGCCGATACCCCGGAAGCCATGGTGCACCAAACGCCAAAATGAGCGCGCAACGGGACAATCAAAGAAAACATGGGTGTTTGTTTCTACCTGTCCACAGTTGGGGCACTTAGGGTCGGGAACAACGCCCCAGCGGTGGAGTCGTTGTCTTGTTGGAAGGACACCCCAGCCCCGACGCCACTCAAAATCCTCCACAGGTCCGGGAAGGCGGCGAGAAACCAACCACGCACACAGCGAAAAAGTACACCCCTGGACGTGTAAACCGTTGTCCCAGGGCGGACTCCCCAAATGGTGTTCGTTTTACACGCGAGGCTCGGTGTATTTCGTTTGCACCCGAGGTCTCGTGTAAAATGAACATCTTTGAACGTGTACTTCGTTCTGCGATCACACGTCTAGGGGTGT